AATACTTGCTCTCTCCTGGTGTGAATGCTGAATAATTAAACAAGTCAGTTGAGGAAGAACAAAGCTTTTTGACAAAAGTAATTTCACCTTTTAATTTTCGGAGTCAGGTATGCTGTAGGAAGTGCGATAGTATTAATTCTGTTATTAATTTTAATTACAGATATTCTGTAAAGTTGAATGCTGGTTCAGTATTGGTGCAGCACTATTGCATAAAGTAAGAAAGACAAAAGGATTCAGTGTTTTTAAGACTAGAAATTGAAAACATTTTAAGCTTCAATCCTGACTCACTCAGGAAGCTTCTCAAAAACTCTTGAATGAACTATTTCACAGCATCCTCCTCAGGCAGCAGGAAGAAGGAAATCCAGAGCACAAAACTTCAGGTGGCATGGGCTGAGATATCCCGTCTAAATGGAAGCATGCTTGTAGGTAAAGCTCTAAGCTTCTGGATAATTTAAACATAAAATACTTGAACAGAAACTAATTGTGATCACTTCAAGATCACAATTTTGAATTTAGTCTGACTGAAATTGCTCCAAGCTCCTTCTTGATCTGGTCCTACTATTTCACTAAATTCTTTTAAATTTCAAACTTTTCCATCAGCATTAATGAGCATAGCACTAAACTTATGTATCTAGAACAGCAGGGCTCTGTCCCTCCCATTCTGTCAAGCCTCTGTGAAAATGAGATGCACTCCCCTTGCAATGCTCTTTAGGAGCAGCAGTATCTGCTGGAAAAAAATAGCATTGAACACAGATGGACACCTTCCATACAAATCTGCTTCAATAACGCAGTAAGCAATTACTGTTAGAGAAATAGTTTCTTCAGATAATTAGATACTTAAAAATCGAAGTTGTTTATGTTTATATAAGCAGTGAAATTATAGACAGAATTATGCAAACAAATCCATCATGGACCATGAGCTCCTGTCAGGTTGCTAATGAAGGTAGAAAGCAGTAATCTTTCTTTATAAGGTTCTCTAATGACCATGATAACAAACCAATTTTTTTTTAGTGCTGCACATTTCCCTTCCCCCATTTTTTCCCCACTAAGTATCAGTTTATACTGACAAATGCTTTCAGAAGACAAAGAGGATGAAAGAGGCTTGAAGTTAACACTCTTCAATTATGCTGACACTGAAATGATTAAATTAAGTAAAAATTCAGTATTTCATTGTCTGTTTGACTCTGATTCCTACCTAAACAAATTTATGGACTCTGTTAAGGTACATTTTGTCTTCACTTAAAATTTGTTTCAGAGATGCATTTAACAGACAATTACCTCTTCTATTTTACTGGAAGCTTTAAAGGCTTATAATACTGCTCTCCATCAATAACCCTTCCTTCAAGACAAACACTTGGTGTTTACAGAAGATCCATGAACACTGGTTAAGAAAGGATTGTACATCCAGACAGTATTAAGATATATACTTTCCTCACATAAGGATTTTCTTTGTCTACTGTATACAAACCAATATGTTGCTTTTAAGAAAAAAATAGAGATATTTCCTGTGCTCTCTGAGTCCTCTCATTATATCTGGGCCCTGAAACAAGTTATAATGGCATTATTTGTTGATTCTTTTGTTTGATGTTGTAATGATTCTAACATCATTACATTAATTGCCAGAATTAGAGAACAACAAATTATGTCAAATAGCATCTTATTTTGTGTAGAAATACCATAGTGTTAAGTTTTGGCAGGAAAACTTACTATCAAAATACTATAGATCTTAGCTTTGATCTCCTCAAAAGATTATTTCATTGCTGATGCAAAACACACTCCACAGACATTTACCTTAAAACTGTGTGATAAATCAAGCTAACAGCCTCTTAGAACTAGGCCCAAGCAAGAAGATAAATATTATTTTATCCATAAAATTTCTGTAGCACTCTGAAATTATCTGGAACATGAGGCAAACATAGAACAATGAACCAGAGAAGTAAAAAAATCATGTAATTTGTTGCAGCTTGTTCATTTGTGAATGCAGTAAGAATAGTTGCATATCCGAAGATAATACTCATTTATTTGTCTAGCTCATACTTATGAAGCACTTCAGAGATGAAAAATCCTCCATGTGCTCAGCATTTACTAAAATAGGAGAAAATAGAGACATAGATATAAAATAACACATTGCTGACTTCTTCTGTCATGACAAAATAGAAATAATTACTGATTTGTCATCAATATATCTCTATTTTTCTACTCAGACAGTAACTAGGATCAGTCTATCAAAATAGAGATAATTACTGAAGAATGAAATCCTGATGATGCCAGACATGCAATTTACAGAATACTGCTAGATGCAAATGCAGAAATAATATTTTCTTCCATGTGCTTACAAAACTGGGCACTCCACAGTGTCACCTGTTGCAGAGTGCTGAAATGGAAACAGCAACGTACCCAAATGGTTTGAAAAATGAGCATACTGTTTTTGAGAATACCTGCCTGAACACACCTCAAGAATCCACCTATGACGTCGAATCTATGCCATGGAGCGACAGACACCAACTCAACCAGGGCCCCATCCAAGGGCAACACTTTGAAAATCTTTGCACTGAGCAGCTCTGAACACGAAAATGGTGCAGAAAAAGCACAACAAAGAAGACCAACAATGGCATGAGTGAAACAAAAATATTTCTGTTTGCAGAGATACCACATTTTGTCTTGAACAGAAACAAACATAATTTAAATGGCAAACGTTTGTATAAAAACCTTCGAGGAGGACACTGTACTAGGCTTCTGGTAGAAATGGGTCACTTAGGTTCTCACATAAGCCAGCACTTAGGCAGATAAAAATAAAAAAGGTAAATAACCACACAAAACGTTTTCAGCCTTCTCTCCAAATGATTTATTGCTGCCAGAGCTCTAATCTAATTTTAGGTGAGCACATCCTTTTTTCTGCCCTGGAGCCATTTTAACTCAATATTGCTCTCCTTCTAGAGCCACGAGAGCACAGGCTCCCTCGGCCACCACAGATGCTGTGCAGTCATTTTACTTTAGCTGTTTGCTGTAAAAGTCATCAATATCGCTTCATCCTGAAGAGACCTTTTCTAACAAAAATGAAAACAAATTGCTAACATTAGATGAAACTTTGACCTCTACATCCCAAAGTAGGGGAAGCAAGATCTGAACTCCTTGTTGCTTTGAAAGCTTGCAAAAGCTCCTCCAGGCAGGCAAACTTTTAATTTTAATAAAATATTTCCTGAGCTGCCAGGCTGAGGTTGTCTCCTTGCTCGCCCTGACATAGGAGCCAACCGGCAGGTCCAGGCAGCCAGCTGGGCTCCCTGGGTCTGCCTGCACCACAGCCGTCCTCTCTCCAAAGCAGCAGCAAGTGATGTGAGGTCTTTGGGGAAACCATTTCAGAAGTCATCTTTTCATCTGCCTCCTTCCCATCTGTTCATCCTTCCCATCCTCAGTATTCCTGTACTACACTCTGTTTCACAAACGCTGTTTTCTGTCATATCTTCTTGTTCCGGCCCCTCGTTATCCCTGGCTTCTCATGTGCTGATCTGAAGCTAAGTCTGTGTGGAAAGGAAAATGGAAGTCTGAAACACTTGCTTGTGGATTGCTATTTTCTGGTCATACACAACTATTTGTTTCCCAAACACCAAGACATGCAGTGAAAAGTAAATCTGAACAATTCTTACACCACCTCCAAAACAAGATCTATAGGGAACTTTAATCTGCTTCCTGTCACACTTACCACATGCTGGGACCATGACTAGGGGAAAAGGATGTATCAGGGGCCAAAGAGATGAACTAGCTTGCAAAATTGTTCTCAGACATGTCTCAAGATCAGAGAATAGCTAAACACTTAAAATCATCACCACAGCAGGGAGTCTAAACTGTAGACACAATGTTTTCATTTTTAAACAAGAGATAAAAATAATGCATCCAACTGAGCAGGCAGCTGAAAGAGTGAATTGCAGGCAAAGACTGATGCACTAGAGATTTTATAAAAACTCCTTGACTCGTGTTTTCCAAATATGTAAGGAAAACAATGCAGTAAACACTGAAACAAAATTAGCATTTGCATGTCTGCGTTGTCTGCACTCAACAGGTCTTGTGCTACAATATATCTTTAAAACTACAATTTTCACACAACTGGATCTTCTCTGGAACATCACTCATATGTCACACCATCTCTTGTGCATATCACTTACCACAATCTCCACTAGGCTATAAATGCAGCATTAAACTGATAAATATGGTTTTATAACAACACAGTAGATCCAGATAATGTCATCTAAGCTGATTTGCACTTCGTTTCAAGGATCCAGTATATAGAGATAATAAATATGGTACCAGACTGTCAGGCAGGAGAAGCTAGAAGAGACAGATGACCTCTGTGCAATACTTCACCCTCTCCTCTCTCAGGAATGTATAATATGAAGGTGTGCAAGCAGACACAGTCAGTCACCACTGACACCAACCAAAATGTCACCAATTTTATTAGAACACAGAATATCATAAAAAAAAAAAAAAGTTATGAATTGCATAGTTATAGCTGTGTTTGCTGTGTCTTTGTCTCCCTGAGCGCCTGAGAGAGTGGAACAAAATTGCCAGCAGTCACATTACGGAGATAGGTTGACAAGCTGCATGACCCCATAAGTCTTGTTCACATCTCATGTCTGTGCTCTTGACTTGCATCTTAAATAACTTCCATATCAGGGCTATTGCAGGGAATCTGCTTTTCCATTCTAAAGGGTTTCTGCCAAATTGAGATTGAATGATGAATGCTTTGTTCTACCTGGCCATCTGGAAAAACAAAACCCAGCCCTCCACCTCCTCCCCCTATGCCTGGAGTTACTGTCTGAGACACCCTATGAGGGAAGGTGTGCACTACAGAAACAGACGGGAAATAAATAAATTTTAAAAAATCTCAAACACCAGAATTGTTTATTACCTTGAAATGCGATGACTCCTTGACAAACACAATTCCTGCCCTCTCCTGACGCACACCAGCCCAGCTCCCCCTCTGTCCCTCTCACTCTGGAGTCATCCGGAGTGGCGTGACACAGCAGGAAAAGAGACCGGTTCACTGTGAGACCTGCTACTCACTCTCTTACAGTGTAACGGCCCCCCTTCCAGCCGCACGGGGTCCGACGGCCACAGCCACGCACAGCCTCGCCGCTCCTCGAGCCCAGGCACAGCACAAGGTGGTGGGGAACATCTGCTCCCTTCTGCATCACTGCAGACCAGGCCACCACATAGGGCGGTACGAATACTTGAGGAGATCCCATGACGAAGGGCAACCGCAATGGTTGGCTTGAAGGTGCAGGGTGACTGCTCACACCTGCTCCCTCTCAGCTCTCTCTGTGCCCAGCCACTTGGAGCACGGACACTGAGGACACAGCAGCACTGCATGCAGGACAGCAGGGATGGAGGATGCAACCCCTGCTCTTCCATTGCTCAGGATGTCCAAGCAAAAGGTTTCTCAATTTGTAATTTTCACTGTATTTTCAAGAACAGCAACCAGCGTTCTCCTGTGCTATTCAGTTAGAGCACAACCAACAGGTTTCACCTGCAAAGGCACTCGAGCAGCTGAAGAAATGAGTACCAGATGTACATACCTGCTTGCTGGGCAGCCTGGGGGATCTGTTGACTCCGCTGTGCGTTGTACTGAACTGAGGCAATGGGTCTGTACTGCTGAGTTGTTGAGGTAGGGTACTGACCAGATGGGTAATAATACACTGGCATCTGCAAAGAAAGAGAACAATAAACTCTAGAGATCAAAGATTCATAAAATAAAACAAAACAGGGAAGAGCAGCATAAGTTCAAATCAAGCATATTAGTAGTAATGCAATCAAGAGAAGAGGTTTGCCTCCTGTCTCTTCAAGAATTGCTGCTTGCTTTCAGCTTTGCTAGGAAAAGGACTATCAGTGCCCACATTTCTTTTCAGATACCTTAGGAAGCAGGAAAAAAAATTGAAAGAGAAAAAAAATATAGGATTCATAAAAAGCTACATGTATATACCAAAGAACAAATATCACAGTAATATTTTATCACAATAACATATCAAAAGCTGCAGAAAAATAGATGCAAACAACACCTTCCATATCAACATAACACATACAGACTTCATGTTGAACCATTAAAGGAACTCTGGAGAAAATGGTCCAGTCAAAACAAGGAATGTCCTGGAGTACAAATATGTAGAAACAAGGTGGAGAGCAAGATGGAGTGTGTGCACCCCTAACATTTGTAAGAAAATTATCAGATTCATGCTTCTGTTTAACATGTACATTCCTCCTTACATAAACATTTCCCTCTAAAGCCTTTCTTGCTCTTATTGTGAAAACAATTACAGTTTAAAAAAATCATCATAGCTGTTTTCTTGCAGGAGCTGAGGATAGGCATCAAGTCAGCAAGTTTTGCTAGATGGGCTTCTTTTTTCTTCTATTATTATTGTCATTACAGAGAAACATGTACTAGGTCTCCTTATCACACAGGTGAACAGGAAAGTTTGAGGGTGACTGAAGAAAAAATTTTTCCTATACATGCCACATCACTGTTACTGAGACATTTGAGCTAAACAGGTTTCAACTGACCCTTCACAAGTTCAAAGCACTCAAAATTTTTCATTTTCAGCTGTCAGGGATACTGTAGGCATCTGACAGAGTTTTGCAATAATGTATGGTAGGAACAGACTGCAGAGGGACAGAGGTTTGGGGGAACATTGCTTCTCTCTCAACTTCTGCCACAGCAGTCAGCATGTCTTAATAAATGATACAATTTTTTTGTATAGCATATATATGTATATAGCATATACAATTATTTTGTGCATAGCATTCATCCTATGTAGACATATGCACAGAGTCAGACCAAATGCTTTTATTTTTTTCACGCAAAAACAAGTACCATTTTTGCCACTTTTATTTGCATGGAAGAAATATTCCTGATACAGATCATTCCATTTGATCATCCAAAAAGTTAGCAGAGTAAAGGTAACTATTGCTAGGATATCATAAGAGACATATTTTCCTTGGAAAATTTCCAGTTTCAGATGAGAAAAAAAAAATGGCATAGACACAAAAGACTAGACAAGAATAGGCTATGGATTGCTACTCAGGCAAGTAGAAGCCTACTGAATGAAAGCTGGACTGGGTGGTGTCAGTGAAGTTAACCCTACAGACCAACTGACAGTCAACAGCATCTGTCAATCAGGAGGCTGAACACCCATCCATTCTTCAAGGTCTATTAAAATTTTCTTTTCAAACAATTGATGTTTTCCCCCTCTCTCTGCTTATATCAGCCTGAGAAAAACAAGGTTTTGACTGGAAAATGTTGTAAGCTACCCTCCCTCCAGACAATACCCAGTGACACCTAAAGGCTAATGCCTGCCCTCATGACAGTAATTTTGTTAGTGACTAATGTAACAAAAACAAAATGCCTTTGTAGAATGGACACCACGTTTGTGAATTTGTTTCTCTGCAAAGAAAAGCCACAAGGAATTGGAAAGTGGGCCCACACATTTAAGGTGCAGAATCATTCTTTAAGCAGTATAAACTGTAGATCAGAAAGTTTCATGTGATAAACTCAGCTCGTGGATATCTCTGCTTGTTCTCAGCAACACTCTGCTACAAGAGGTTTGAAAGAAATGAGGAGACCCACTCTAAGTCAAGTCAATGCAAATATGTGATCCAGCCTTGGAGGAGGGGAACAGAACAGACATTCTTTCAAACATTCTTTATTTTCTATTAACATATTCTACAAACTAAAGAATATTAAACCCTTGTGGAAATACTCTCACTTATCCTGCCAGCAGCTTAATCTCACTTAAAGGATTTATTTTATCTACCCTCAACTTCCTCATTTTGAACAGCATTGAACATGCTGAGCACAAATACATAAACTGAAGCATACACTTTATTTTTACCCCACACATAAAACCTCAGCATTAGTTAAAGGGTTATCTCCCTTGATCTCATTTTCTCAATTCAATGGAGTATGTTTGTTATGTAATCCACTTAAAAGTTTATGAGAGTGCAATCTATCAGCATGAAAAAAATCTTAGTAGTAGAAGGGTAAAAAAAAGTACTTCACTTATAAAGTTTAATGGAAGAATTAGACAGCAGTCATGCTGACTACTGACATGACATGAAAACAAGAGGTTTAGCTTTTGATGGGTTTTGTTGTTTTGGTTTTTTGTGTTGCTGTTCTTGGTTTTGTTAACTCATTTTTTTGTTTGGTGGGGAAGTCAGGTTTGTTTGTTTTTTAAAAGCTTGCACATTAAAAGAAGGCCTTGGTGTAAAATATAGACACTGTCTAAAATAGGTCTTTTATGATTGAGGGGCTTGGAAAGATCCGTTCTCATTTATCATGAGTACATCTCTGTGTCACTAGTTGAAATGTTATTTTTCCTTTCTCATTCTAATTTGGTGAACAGTGGAATTAGAGGGATCAGAGATAACAAGTATCACTTACATCATCTGCTTTGATCCTCTTGAATTCTTTAGTTTCTCATCACATCAGTGTTACTAAAATATTGTTTACTGTTTACTTATGTGCTCTTCAACAAAAAAGCATTACATTTCTGTAGCAGCCAACCAACATGCCAAATTACACTGGAGTTGCATTCCCATGTGACATGCACAATCCAACCTTCAACCTTTTGCTTGTAAGACATTTTATTTACAGAACCAGAAGCTTTCCATTGCGCTAACAAGCATACCAATGAAGTTGTATGGTTACCCTAAAACTAAAATAAATTTACCAAATTCTAAGACTGAAATTAATTTACCACTTCTAAGACTATAACCTAAATAAATGCTACCTTCTTTATGCTAAAAGCATGGTTTTTTGATCTTAATCCTACACACTGTGAAAAATAATTTTTAGTATGATTTTTAATAATTACCTTGTTTTTAGGTTGACAATTCCAATTCATTCTAATTTTTCTCTCATATACAATATTTTAACTTAAATTGTAACAGGGCTGGGCATGCCATTTCAGAGACACTCATGAAATGGCACAGTCAGACATTACTTTCTCCTCTTTCTAATGCGCTTTGTCCCTAGATGATGTGCAGAGACTCAGTGCAGCATTGATTTTCTGCTTTGTTCTGTCCACATACAGCCTGGAGCCATTATGAGGCTGGGTGTCTGTCTGGCTGCCCTCTAGCAGCATCCATGAAATTCACTGGCACCTTGGTTTTTTTTTTCCTTGTAGCAGGATCAGGAGTCCACATATACTTCAGGATGATTTTACTTTCATAAACTGCCTCCCTACGGGCTTGATTCAGCCATTGGACTGGTACTCTATCTTCTCTTAACACTGCTGATATCCAGACAGGTTTAGACTAGCACATCCATCCAGCTGCTGACACCATTGCTAATGATACTGACAGTCACAAAAATGGGAGTGAAGAAGGACAAGAGAAACCCTAGTGATGCATGGACACATGAAGCTGCCATTTCTTCCCAATACCTAACTGACACGGATCAGTCATTCTTGAAGGTCTTTTCTCTTCCTCCCTGCCCCCTCCATAATAATTACAGTAGCAGGTAACAGATAAATAATGCCTTGTAAGATGTTTTCCATTATAATTTTCAAAGATCATCAAGCCCTGCTCATTTGCAGCGACTCCCCAATCTTCTTCATAATAAGTTTCCTAGAGGAGATAAGCTATGAATAAAGATTTTGTCTTAGGGTCATTACAGACTCTCAAGGAGAGGGCTTCTGCAAAGAGACAAAAGATTAAAGATGACACAAAATTAATTCAGGTGAAAAATCCCTCAACATGTTAATTATGTCTCCAGGCCTCTCCCAGAATTCATGCCATCTCACTTTTGGATATCATTTTGCCAGTATACCTTCCAAAATGAGTCAGAGGTGAAAATAACTTTTCAGGGAGGATATCCCTTCCCATTGACACAATATTCATATTTTTTCCACTTCTTCATTTGCAGAGGCAAAGACAGGCACCATTGATAAAAGTACTACAAAGGAGAATGTGGATTCCTGTTAAAGTGTTTGGTCCATAAGTGCTACAGAAAAACTATCAGAAAGAGAAGAAAATTGAAAATAAGGAAAGCAAAGATATATATATATATGATCAATATTCATGACAGAAAACAATCAGGCATTTGCTGGTAAAAATCCCTTTCAGAAAACCTCAGGTAACATTTGGGATTTGGGTTGGTTTTTTTTTGTTGTTCGTTTATTTTTGTAATTAGCTGAACAAAGAGAAATCCTTATTTTCATTTATTAAATTATGACTTTAATAAATTTGTGGGATATTGTCAAGCTGGGGGATACCTGTGATGAAAGAAGAAGCAAAATGAAACGCAAAGGTTTCTTTCACCCCTTCTTAGGCATGTCATTTCAAATTCAGTCTGCTTCTGCTTTAATACAGTCTGTGAGAAAGAATCTTGGAGAGCAGCTGTAGAGCCACGTTTAACTGAACTTTAATAGAAAAGCTAGTAATTTAAATGCAGTACCATTGGATGTGTAGGCTTGAAGCATTTCTTTCTCCTCCTTTCAGCTCCCAAAGGAAATTATCATACTCACAGGATATCTCCACCCAAGTTTTCACTGCTATTTTCCAACAGCATACAGGGTATCACAGCCAACCTTATCAGCAGTGCATTTACAGGAACTAATTAGCCATTAAAGTCATGCCTCTTTTAAACTGGTATAAATTCAATAGCAACATTTAAGATATAAAAGTGCTTTTACATTGATTGCATTGCATTGATTAATGCATCACATAATGTTTTGCTTCCATTACCATCTTTATTGCTTTCTTTTTTTCTCAGAGCCTGCCTCAGACCACCTGCTATGGTGTCTGAGAGCAGCCTTACTATTGCATCTAAGCCCCAAAGAGTAACACAGCTGACTCAGACTGACAATAGCCACAGCCACAGTGAAGCTGTGTCATGGGCAGGACAAGTATTGGGGATCTACCTACTGTGTACAGAAAGCTAAGCTCTCAGGGCAGAACAACTGCTATTTCCCAGGGGTGCACTTTTACTCTTTATAAGAGGGATCCCCTATTTGCCGTACATGTGCTGCACGTAGTATCCAAACCACTTTCTAGGACTGAAGTGAATGTATAAAAACTTGAAATGTGAATCAGAAACTCCTGTCTGTGCATGCAGAAGCACAGAATGATTGCCCTCTCTCCCTTCTGGCAGAGCAAGGCCACTGTGCTTTCAAGGGATGGGGCCATGGGCAGCAGACTCTAAACCCTGCCATGCCCTCTTCCACACGTATCTGACAAGGATTTTTTGGAACAGTAACAAGCTGCAGATGGATGTTATCTGCAGAACTAGAGGAAGCTGACAGCACTGAATTTCTCACCTTTCTACACTTCCCCCCGAGGACAAACAATTCCACAGTGAAATAACTGAAGTTGTTGCAAAGCCAAAAGATATTTTTCTGCTGTCAATAACTTTCCACTGTGTTAAACTATAGGAGCAAAGCAGCTGGGGAATGGACAGAGACACAGTGACCATTAGACACACCAGTACTGTGCTGGTGCTACAGCCCCCCTGTACATGAAAAGGCACCTCCTCATCACTTGGCCTGTGAAAAAGTAGCCTGCCTCTAAGTAGCACCAGTACAAGGATTAACTTGGAAAAGAGCTTCACCAAGTAATACTGCACTGTGCTGAGTGAAAACCCTGTGTCCTGCTGTAAATGCAGGGGTGAAATCCAATGTTCCCACAGCAAGGCTCAGCCAGGGGCAGGAGCAGTGGGCAAACCTATGCAGCCCATTGCAAGGCCAGCCAAGGTGGGTCTAGTAGAGACCCTGGGGCGAGCTGAACATGTGGCCTCACTTGAGGGAGTGAAGAGGTGGTGGGGGGTCCCTGTCAGGACAGGCAGCACCATCCTGCAGCCCACTCAAGTCCCACAGCAAACCCTGGCTGGCAGAGCTGGGGAACATCAGTACCTGCTGTGGTGGCAGCCAGCAACACGGAGGTGCTCACATATACCTGTTTCACTAGAAGCGTCATGAGGTTGGATTAAATGACTGAGGGCACCTGGGGGTTGAACATAAGGACTAAAGCCTAGACAGCCTCTACTAGGAGACACAATCTAGATGGGAAGATGGATTCATCAGGGAGTTTTGCTCTTTAGGTCATTTTTTTCTCCCAAATTTTAAGAAACCACCAAACCTGCTACATTTGGCAAAATGTGAAATATTTTCCTAGCAATATTTTTCTAGCAGTACTTTCAATTTTTTTGTAAAAGAAATCACATTATATCGAACTTCCTCTCCTTCAAACTTGTTTTTGCCAAGCCTTCTTTCAGAAAACATAGCTGCACATTTTTTAACCACACAAGTGCATTGCAGAAATTATGGATTGCAGTCCTCGACGGGATGTCAGCATCCTCAGATTTCTTTTACTGTTAATTAGTGATCTAATTAACTAGATCCTTAGCCCACTTAAAACACTGTAACAGTAAAAATTCTTCATTCCTATGTCAATACTGAATTTCATTAATAAGCACAAGTGGAAATTTTCAGTGAGAAGCAGTAAGCAAAAACCGACCAACCAAACAATCGCTTCCAATAAGGTTTACAATGAAGTTACGTTAAAAGAAATGGTAGAGTTTTTAACTTAATTTTTAATTTTTTTTCTTCCAAAGGATAAAATGGAAACAAGAGAAATGCTATTAATACAATTTCAAGTGGAATTTAAATGAAGTTATTTATAATTGGATAAAGAAATTTGTCTTTTTAATGTGTATGCCTTGAAAATTGGCCAGAAAGTCATCTGTGCATTTTACTTCTTGACAGTAATCACTTTCAATATTCTGTAAAGGTACCCAGGAGACAAGCAGAGATGTTTGGTAGTGAACAGTAAAACATAATCAGTCTTCAGGAAGACAGTTAAAATTACTGATCTGTGACACCTCACATGTTCAAGTCAATTAAATATGATTAACGACTACCTGGGCTGATGTACGTTTTGCTCTTTTGGTACATACACAGGGAAAAAGGAGTGTGGGCATTTACTCACCCTCCTCCTTCACATTCATGTGCAGATGTGTCACGGAGTATGAACATATGTTCAGAAAACATTTTGAGGAGAGGGAAGGAAATGCTGAAACCCGGGAAACAATAGAGACTTTGCAACCATCCTGCTGCCTAAAGACCTGCTAAACTTTTACCGTGGGGAAAAAAAAAATATCTGGGATTTATATTCCTTTCCTGATGTTACAAAGGGCACCGTGTCCACGTGGCAGCGGGAGTTCTGCCTACCTGAGCAGGTGGCGGTGGCTGTTGCACGAAGCCCTGGGGCGGCGGCGGCGGCTGCAGCACCTGCTGGGACACCGGTGGTCCTGAACCCGTGAAGCCTCCTGGGGGAAGCTGCTGGCTCGGGGAGGCCATGATGTAACCTGGCTGCTGGGCAGGCTGCTGCAGGAGGGGCGAGGGGTACACGGGGCCAGAAGGCGACTCGGGGTTGTCTCCCGACGACTGACGACTTAAGCTCATCTGGCTAAACTGCGCGGTCATGTCGTCTCGCTGCGGGGCAGAAGGCAGAGAAGAGGATATAGATGTGGTGCCTGGAGCAGGCACATGAGGTAGCAAAACAAAATAGGTTCAGAGCACGAGGAGGGGAAAGGAACCTCTCAGCTCTGACCCATGTCAAACTTTGCAAGGATATCTACAAAAATTGAGGCAATTAAAACAAAAATCACCATAAATGCTTTGACAAAGAGTTCCAGATGGCAAGGTGAATGGCATAATTTGGCAAAATAGCCAATTATTTTGGCTCTTTCCCCCTGCCACCCTCATCTTTAATTCCAAAATGACAAGTGAACTTTACAGTGTTCAAAAGAAGACATTTTAAATGTAAAGGGCATGAAAATAACATTATGGATACCTCTATCCTCAAATACAGAATCTGTCAGCCAAACACATGCTGGTAATTTCACCTGTGTTTTAAACTGATCCCAAGAGGAATTTAGCAGGATTCAGCTGCAGATCTTTCCCTTTTTGGACTGCTTTGAAAATCCAAGGTTGTAAACACCAAGAAAGTAAAAAAAAAAAAAAAAGCTAAGCCTAATGTTGCTGTTTCAAGGCTTTTTATTCTGTGTTAGAGAGAAACAAGTTCTATATTAGATTGAAGGGGGAAAGAAAAAAAAAATAAATCTTTGGTAGGATAATAGTACCATATAAAGTCAATGGACCTAAGCTTCACTACATGCTAGTAATAATACAGACATTCTGCACTGTATCTGTTCATTCTTGCAAAAAGATTAATACTATTCAATGCTCTCAAGTGTATTCTTTGAAGGTCAAAGATTTACTAATGTGTGTGCTGTTCTAGGCATCTTCATTTCTGCCCATATCATAAGACCTTTAAATACTTAAACTCCATCGTGTGCTAATATGCTGATTACAGATAGGAAATAAGCTCCATAAAATTCCTTTTGCTCAGAACGCCCACACTATTTTTCAGAAGAAGCCTCTTAATACTGTTTGCATCCGTGTGATATTCAGTCTCCAAAACCATCCTGCACAATTCATGTAATGTCTGGAAACTTCAAAATGTGTTAAAAAATGAAACAAAATAAAATGAAAAGTTTCCTTGTGGAAAGTACTTCTGAGACTTACCCTCACATACAGAGACTCACCCTCACAACTGAGAGCAGATGTCATGGATTAACATTTTTAACACTACTGACAGATCATCAGGTGGTATATGGAAGTAATGCTGTTAACTTTACCATCATCCTACATTCATATTCAGACACATGAGTTGTCTCTGTGAAGTTGCTCCTTTAAAAAGCTAGGATAGTCATTACCAGAATGACAAATGACTGCAAATGGATTCTACACAAAACTTCACCGAGCCAGGAATGCCTCTAGATTTTCACAAAAGAGAAAAACATCTTCAAACACATATTATCTATATAGTGTTTGTGTAATGTAATGTATACTAAAAATAGTAATTCAGATGAAGTTTCATTAATAACTTAACCAATAAATATATTAGCTTTTGTGTGATTTTCACCAGGGCAACCTGATATTTCTGCAACAGACTTTTCAAGAGAATTAACATTACGATATGCAACTTTTGTTCAGCATGGAATATTGATCTTCCTATAAATGCTATCAATCATCTACTAGTCATTAATAACATTATTTTATCTGCAAGGATCCATTCAGCTTTGTTTCCATATCTTACTATAACTATGTGACACTGGAAAAAAAAACCAAAACAATCGTAAACAAGATTACTAGACCAAGAGAAAAAAAGCACCAAGCCATACTCAGACCCCAGAAGAACACTCTATTTATTTTCATCATACACATCCCCATTGGTGCATTGTCATGATGTACAGCACACTACACCTTCTGCAGCTGGCTCACTGCTATTCTCCTTCCCAAGTCCTCTGATATCACCAAGGAATAAATCCAGGAAGTGGATTTAGTATATGGATAAAAGAATACAAAATAAAAAATAATGATTTCTTGAGGTTTCATCTCCTGTCTTTGTGGACACAAAAGAGGAATAACCCAAATCTCAACTATTCAAGTTAGTAATTTAAGGTGACTTGGCATTAAGTGAGGAGATATAAGCTTCCAGCAGGCACAACAAAATATTTTTCTGGAGGGTCTGCTAAGCAGGTAGAGAGTCCTGCTGTAGCATCACCCTTTGGATTAGGTAACCAGAACCAGTGGGTATGCTCAAAATGCCTGCCAGTACCAAAGCATAAAGGTGAAGAGATATTTAGACAGGATTCTCATGTGGGACACCTGTTGCAGTGTTCCCCAGAGGCTCTTGAACACACACACTCACACCTCCAAATTCAAGGAAAGAAAAATAAATAGGAAATCTTTAGTACCACAGAAAACTGCTGTGTTGGAGAGACTGGCAGGAGATGCTGGGGAGGATAAGAAACTGCTGGATATTGGACTGACTGAGAAGATGGCTGCATTGTCTGAACAGGCTGCAAAAGAAGCAAAGGAAAGACAATAAATTCCAACATAGAAAGATAACAAGTACCATCACCGCCACCTTTGTTATTGAGAACAAAAATCTCAAATCCAGCTCCCAAAATACAGGTCACTCATCACCAGCCTGAGTACAAGAGGTCAAGTATTGCAACTTTAGTCTTCATTTTCGCCTTATACTAAACAATTATTTATTACTGATATTTCTGCCTCTTTTTGTGGATTTGATGGCTGTTAGATTAAATATAGCCAGAGCTATACCTTCTTACTCGTAATGCAAGTTGAAGCCAAATTATGATTCCACATTTAATTTACAGAGATTAAAAATGGAAAGCAGCATAGCATAAGTATATATTTGAATTTCACTGTTAGTGACTGATTTAACACCAAGTGTGTCATAGGCAAAGGAATAATGATTGTAATGCTGCTTGAGAGAACACAAGAGTTCAAAAAATTGACAAAGAACAGGCCATGAATTACCAACAGACAGGCCATCAGCTTGGAGCAGATGTTTATCTAAGTGAAAAAAATTATTTTCCACAGCACTATTATCTTGGAATAGCTTTAGTATTCCTTTCATTTTAACCTCTCATATAACTTCTTATAGGTTTGGTATTATTTGTCTTCTATAACTGTGAAGACCAGATCAAGAAATAAGAGCCATAACCATATAAATCCAAACCCAGTAAAATCACAGCAGCTTCACTGAATTCAAACACTGTATAACCTAGGATGAAGCCGTGCCAAATTATAAAGCTACACAAGAACCACAGTCAATCTTGGCTGCCCTGTGACTAAGCAGGATATAGTATTCTTGCTTCAGCAGTTCCCTCCGCCTTCTCTAGGGAGAACAGGCATGCAATCCACAAAATTAGTTTTGAACCAGACCCAAACACTGCTGCCCATGCTCAGCCACATTTGGCCATATGCCACAGCCAGCGCAGGGACCAGAGAGCCAACATTGCACTGTGCTCAAACAAAATTGCTCTTCCTGCTGCAGCTCCAGAACTTGTACCTCAGAGCAGGATCATGGCCAGACTATTGGTGCAGGCAGAAAACCACCAAACTGGGGCAAAGGAACTTGGCGAGCACTCATAGATTGGGCCCAATACAACTGGACATGAAAGGGTTTGTAGAGCTCTTGCACATTATTCTTTGACTCAAACCCACTGTTGTCAAAAGAGAAATGCCCCTGGCTCTTTGGAGAGAATTACAGACTGCACTGGTTTGAGAATGAATGGTTCCGCTTCCACTAATGGGTGAATTTTTCAAACTAATTTTATGCAGACATGCACCAACACGCTTCACAGTACTTTTGAAAATGAAATCATCCTTTAGATAGAATTGAAGATGTAATCTTCCCTCTCCATCTGCTTTAACCATGTTGAAAAGAACATCCTGATAGTTGGTCTAGCTGCATTCCTCCCTTCTTTCCTCTAGGTCACTCTTGATATCACTAAGAGCTCCTTCTTTTTCCCAATGATACCACACCTACCTGTGTGACAAGGTGACTTGCCATCTGCTGCTGTGGCTGTTGAACCTGCTGAGGCTGCTGGGGTGAAGGCTGCTGCTGAGACTGTCCAACCACCTGGCTCCTCATTGTCTGCTGGCCACTGGGAGGATTGTATATTGCCGGTGTCCCATCAGGATTTACAAATGGTTGACCTGAAACAAAACGCCCGGCTCTTGCTGGACACTTTTAAGAACATACTGTTTTCTGTGTGAAAGCAAACAGTTTTGCTTTAACTGATCGCTCTTTAGCTGACCTGCTACAATAGTAAAGTGTTCATCACTCTCAATATCTCATTATAGTAATTACAGTATCAGACAGCTTTTATTTTTTTTTCAGGCAAGACAGCAGATATTTGTTTCAGCAGTATGATTTTCCAAGGAATGAGTGGAAAGTTACCATGGCTATAAGATGATTCAGATGCTATGGTTACTTGAAATCATTCACTGATGAATCAATTAACATTAAAATTGAACTTTGGAGCAAACACTCCAAAGGTAGAGAATGTTCCCTTACATTTTCCTCTAACACAACACAGCAGTCAAATGTACACAACTACTTCTGAAACAATATGGTCTGTAGAAAAGGGGAAAAAAACCAAACCCACACTTGTTACTAATTTACTTATACATTCTAATAACAGAGCTGTACTTTTGAGAGCTGTACCCTATTTACTTAGTGGAGCTAGCACACCAGCTTTCAAGGAAGCAACACTTAAGTTGTATTTAAAAATTTCTTATATACAAGACAAATACTTTTTAGAGTTCTGCTAAGTTATTGAACTAATTTTGCTTCAGATAATTAAGCTGGGGGAAATAACCTTGCAAAAACAATATTTGCTTAAGATAGAAAGTCTACCCAAGTCACTATCTTGAAAAAAAAAAAAAAAAAGAAATGGTTATTCCTCAGTAGGAAAAATATTTTCCATTATCTCAGTTCTCTTTTCACTTCCATGATTAATCTGTAAATCAAAGGAATTATAAATGCTTCCACGAGGGAAAAAAAAAAGTAATTTTAGCAATGATATGATAACCTTTGAAGTAGGTAACTAACGAATGAATATCTGAGATAAAAGGAGATCTGGAGGAGTTCAGTGACTTAGAGCAACAGTGAAATAATAAACTTCTGATCTGTATCCTATGAAGCATTTCTACCTGTTCTATCTATTCCTCAGCCTTCTAGTTTCTTCCTCCAATGAATCATGGTCAGAAATGCATGAAGAGCATTGGCTAAAGAACCTTGCCTTCTTTCTCTCTAAAGCATCAAGTTTCTGGATGAACTCAACACCACATTCATGCTGAGAAAGGTCATGAGCGAGTGGAGAAGAAGCACAGAGCAGTTCTGTCTACTGATTTCCTGATCCTTGCTGTGAACCCACAGGGTAACCATGGCATGGACTCCCAAGCTTTGGAAATCTCAAGCCAGAGAAGTACTTTAGAAGACTGAGTGAGCAGGATATAACACAGTCCCAAAGCCTGTGTCAGATGCTCAGGGAAAGCTAATAAAGAGCATTTCCTGTGGCTTAAGGAAAGACAGCAGAACTCGAGGTATAAAGTCCCAAAACCACTTTTAAAGATAAAAAAGAGAGGACTTCTCATTAAGAAATCTTGAAATCAGAAATGAAAAGGAGAGATCAGAAGGTAACAGGGAAGACATTTGTAAGTTATGAACTGTGGCCCTGATAGAAGTGCGGAGATTGCAATGTCATTTCAAGGAGTATGTATGAAAAGTAAATGCTCTTAAATTGTCAGAGGGGTTAAGGAAGAACGTGCCAAGAGGAATCCTTTAAAGGGCAAAACAAGCTGATGAAGTAAGTGAAATGGAGAACACAGCAACATAAATGGTTCATTGCCAAAGCAAGTAAGAAGCTTGAGTATCTGGGGAAGGAGGAGGGTAAAGCAGAGGAGAGAAAATAAACTGCAGATATGGAAAAGAAAGTGTGGATTCTCAGCATCTGGTAAGGAGCAGAGTTATAATCAGATCAGGAATAAATTGACAGCATCTCTGGATGCCATTAGAGGCTTGCACAGTCAGTGACTATGTAGTGTGAAAGGAAGGAAAGATCTTTAAAGGACACGGTGTTATGATCAAAAGAGAGCAAAAGACTGGAAGAAGCCACTCTGCAAGAGGAGAAGAAAGAGATAAACAATGGTATTACATAGGGAAAGAAAATCTATTCATTACAGGAAACAAAGATCCTTTTTCCTTTTCTTTCAACTGTCTTCGCTTCATCTCTGTTTCTGACAGCATCTATCACTTTGACAGTCGATCACAGCATCCAGCAATCAAAATCTCCTCCCCATGGAGCTTCTTTTGTAATGTTTCCCTAATAAGATGCAAAGATTCTGAGCCTAAAGAGTGACAACTTTGCAGCATGTATTTTTCTGCATGTGAAAAACACAGCAGATGTCAAAATACAGTCTGATTTCCAGCAAAAGGTAGCAGCATGAAGCTAGAAGTGTGAAACAAGAATTTCAGGTTTTTAAAAGAATCTGCTCTCTCCATTACTTTACTATGCATATATTTATATGGGAGCTGCAGAAACAAAACACAAGGTTTGAAAGTAACACAAAATAATATATATACAAAAATACTTGCTCCCTGAATGTTAAACATACAAACATGCATGGGTTTCCCAATGATGCATCTGCAGATGGAGGCACACAGGGAGGAAAGATAAGGTGATCTGGTCTAGTGACAGTATTGAAAGGCATTATACCTATAGCAGAAATAAAAAAAAGACTCCCTATGTACCAGGCTAAAATCTGAACTAGATGATGCAATTTCCTAAATTGACAAGACAGATATAGGAGATGTTCCTCTTAATGGCTCTTCTTGCTTTCAAGTGTGGTGAGCTCCAGTCTCTGCCCTTGCCAGGAACAAGCCTGGCCAGGAACAAGCAGTATCTCTCAGCTGTTTCTGGGCTCCAAGCAGCATCATTTACTTTCATTTTTTCCTCAGTCCTATCACCTGAATTATGGTTGACTCCTGCTAGGCCTGATGAGTTTTGTATGGAAATGGACCATATGGTGGAACACAAAATGTTGTCTTCTGTATTCACCAAGAAGTTTCAGTGTTGCAGAAAGAACTGTCAACTACCAGAACAGAAATGAGCAGATGAATATAATCATGGATCTTTTCCTTGCTGACAATATTAGGCTCTCATGTCAATCATGCAATAGCTTGGAAAAAAAGTACACATAAAGAGTAAAGGCTTCAGAAGAGTAAAGGTTTGTGCATGTTACTAAGGTACCTCTCTGGGACAGAACTTATAAAATATATCACATTCTAATCTAAAGAACTCCTCCTTGATTTTAAATATGCTGATACATATTGATCAGCCCCAAATATCACCATCTATAAATATCTGTGGTAAGATTGGCTGGAGAGTTTACCAAGGCTGTATTTTTCTTAAATGTTTCAACTTTCTTGACTAAACTATGACGAAAAAAATTATTCTTAGCAGTGGACACACACATGAGCTTTAAGCATTTCCACCAAAATTGTGGAACACAGGGATGTAATACACATAAAATACAAGTTATAAACAAAAATCCCCAAAGAAAAAGTTCCTGAATGTTCTTTTAAGGACTTTGAAAAAACTATTGTGGAGTTTAACCATCAGATCTCAGTATAATGGAAGCTACATTTTACTACAGGCTTTCTTGTTTTAAACCCAGTATAACTCAGCTAAGTTTGACAGCACAGCTAGCCGTGGTCACTGGAATAGTCCCAATTACCAAAGAAGCATCACACCCTCAAACTCCCTGAACCTTCTTAACACTAATAGTACAATACAGTGGGGAGTAACAGCATAACATGATCCAGACTTCATCCAGACCAAAGAGGTAACAAATTGCCTTAAGCTTTCATCAAATACTCAAGTTCAAACTGAAGAGTTTCAGAAGTGCCCACAGCTCTTGGGTGCTTGCAAGTGCCTCATTTGTGAGCTGCAGTGATGAATACTATCAGGAATTTAAGAGTTACATCTTTCTCTTATCACAAATTTCACAATTTAAATACAATTGCTAATCATATAGCTCAGATGAAATTAATTCTGAAGTGCAGATTCAAATGCAGCCTTTAAGTCTTTTGAAATTCTGCTGTTAAGCACAATCTCTAAGAATGTGATGTTATATTTTGGTTGCACTATATCTCAGCATGCTTGATATAGAAGAGCATCTGTCCTTATTGATGCTAAGGGGATCTTAGAGGATGCACTGAGAGCCAGGGAGCCCCAGAATTGCTGAATGATGAATATCCTGTCTGGGACGGAGCAGGAGTGTTTTGTATCACTTCACACCAGCTATGCCACAATAGCCTCAGAAACCGAATCTATCTTTGCCTGAACATTTGGAAACAACAATTTGCCAAACATATTTGCTCATAAAGTGCCTCCAGAAAAATATGCCTAGAAACAAGAATTTGCCGATTCACCAGCTGACATCAGAAACGCCAAGGGGCAGAATCAGGCAGGAGGGAACTGTACTGACCTGTGTGAGGGTTGAGAAGGATACTGCCAGGCGGTATCCCTGCAGCTTCAAGTGGAAGAATGATATAGCTGGTGTTGCTGGGGGCCACCTGGCCACTCATCCCATTCTCAGGGTAGGACACGCTGCCTGAAGAGTTGGCTGTCACCCCAGGGACAAGAGATGATGCACTTTGGAGAGGCTGATGTATTCGTGACAGTGATCCTGAGGAGCCAGCACTGCTGGAAGACTCTGAGCCTAGTAGGGAGACACAACCACAGCAGGAAGGGGGGGGTTACAAAGGATGCTAACCCCCATCAGATGGGGTACATACACAAGGACAGTCTTCACAGACTGTAAAGGCATGCACCACTCCATGCTTAGCTACTAGGATTTTCATTCCCTACTGAACCCAGTGGAAATTTTCACAATCTAAAAGCCTGCTTTCCTCATGAAACATCAGTTTACCCCAGCCAATAAATGAATTTATGAAAGAGAAATACAAAATCCTCAGCATATATTTATAATGCCAAGGTGTCAGTTTATAAGGCATAAAAACTAAACAGAGTGCTTATAAAAACAAACAAACAAACAAAAATAGAACACACAAAAAAAATCACATTTTTCCATGTGATTTTTTTCAAATATTCTCTGTAAAGCAACAGCAACTGAGTTATGAGTCTAGTCACAGGTAGCTGTGTAATATCTATATTAATTTAAAGCTACCTAAGATATTACCTAAGACTTTTGCCACTTTAGTTTTTCAGTATCAAACTCATTAAAATTGATAAATCAAGAAAAATCAACTGTGCTAAAGCACGTTTGTGCCGGAAGAATGGGAACACACATTATTTTAAGCCCTAAAAATAATATTCAAACTTCTGAGATACTACTTGATTAGATTTTAATTTGCTTCACAGAAAAAAGACAATAATTTCTGAGAGCATAAGGCTCAGGTGATCAGCTCCCTAAAGCAGAATGGTATGGATGCTTACTCCACAGAGCAAAGTATGTTTTAATTGCAACTTGTTTCATTTTACTTGAGTCCACTGTCTATTCACCTAACCTCCACAGTGTTCATCTGCAGGTATAGACTAAAAGCAAGGACAGAATTTAGACTTCAGTTTAGCAAACCTCTTAAAGGCAAATTATATCCTTTCAGAGATGGGATACTGCAGGTGTAGTAGACTGCTTAGAGCCTCAAATTCATTTTCACTCAAATGCATTTGAAATTAATTTATTTTCTCATATTTAGAGAAATGAGAGCAGAAGATATTTCTTCTGAAGAAATTACACCAGCATCCTGTTAGTTAACAGAGGATTTTTCCACAGATTACTGCAGGTTGCTCTGTAAGACACATTTTTAATCCATCTTCTTCAAACTTTGGGTTCATATAGCAACCACTACAGACACAGTCCTCTCTATGAGCTGTGCACTATTTGCCATCAGTAAGACCCTACATCTGCTTCTTCAGTATCGAATCAGGAAAGTAACAGAGATTTCCAAAGAATTTTTTAGTTTCATTAAGTAAGTCTTTCAATAAAACATCAAAATTGTATTAGTTGCTATATTTTTGCACTCCTTGTAGACTGAGGTTATAAATGTAGAAATACTATTCCAGAAGAAATAGTTTTATCTATTAGATAATTTCAGATTCCTGTGTTTCTACAAAATGCGGAGTTATTCCTGGAGGCCATCCTCATCAAGCTGCAAGTAGTATTTGGCATCTTGTAACTGTAAATGCAAGTGCTGGAGCTCAATTTTCCTTCCACATCAGCTACAAGGTCCTTTGCTGTATTTCCCTGGCCTTTCTACATGCACTTCATGTTGAGTTCTTGCTTTACTTTCTCCTCTTTTCCTTCACCTTTTGAATTCAGCCGGTCAGGGAGATGGTAGTGGTGACGAGATTTCTTAAACCTCCCATTATTTCTAAGTTTGTGTGTGAGTAGTACCAAGCCCGAGTTCAGACTCTCTCCACTTTCTGTGCTATTACAATGAAATGCTATTGGCACAAAAAAAGATTGCAGCTCTGACATTCAATTGTTTTGGTTTTTTCCCCTCCCTTTCTGCTGTTCCTATGGCAGAATTATGTATTGATCTACACCAGCTTCTGAATGATAAAAGCCAGAGGATTGCAATGAGTTCAGGTGTATTCATCATATGGAAGCAGTGCAAAATACTTTGAGGCTATCACCACACATTGGTCAAGCTGATAGCTTTGAAATGTCAACCTTAAAAAATGCAAGATCTACTCTCCCATGTCAGTAGATCAAGTCAGTGATTTTGAAATAACACAAGTCACAAAACCATATCAAGAATCTTCTGAATTTAAAAAAGAAAAAATTCCATAAACTACCGCTGTACCAATTTTTCCCCCATTTATACTGTATAAGAATGATCCACTTTATTTAGTTCCATTATTGTAACTTATTTCCTATCATTTTAAATCTACATTTATTAAGCCAAGTAAATTCCCACACTAATATTTGGAAATTAACACCAATTAATCTTGTCTTTGTAGCTCTGATTAGCTGTTTTCACGCTGCCTGAATTTGGAATCGGAAATCACTTTATAATGAATTCAGTACTGTAAAAAAGGGAGAAAAATAAATTATCTGACTTTATTCAGATTCATATTAAAAGATGTCTTGCAAAAGACTTCTGAAAGGAACTTGGACTAAATGAGATTTTTGCCCCCATTACACAATCTAACCTCTTTTTTTCAGCATGTAATGATGGATAGTTCTTCTAGATTATTCTATAATTTTCTTGCTGCTTCACAGTTGAGATAATAATAACCTTCACATTCTCATCACTTTCCATTAATATATTTTTAAGTATTCTGAGAGATACAGAAATTCAAAGAGCTGTAAAGAAAAAGAGACAGAAAAAACCACCAAAAATGCTTAATAGCTTAGAGGGTTTGCAGAGGGAGAGCATGGAAGTACCATCAATTTTCCAATATTCTAAGAAATAGTGAGTGATGCAATATGTCCTGCTCTATTTTCCTTGGATCAGCATATATTATCTGATGACTTTGAACATCTCTGCTCATCTCACCTTTCAAGTCCAAGGCAAATTTCTCCTTTCTTATCAACTACACACTCAAACCTATCCACTATCACTGCTTACTCTAGACCATCACCATTTTCAGGAACAATAGAACACTGGAAGTATTTTAGTCTTGGATATAGATTCTTGGACTAGGAATATTTATTTGCTACTTTTGTAAGTCACTCGCCTTTCTCTACGCAACAACATATTTAGTGATTTTTTTATAATGAAATGGCATGTGCTTATGTGAACATGATTATTTCTCTCTAAGCTGCAATTCTAAAAATAAAACTGATGTTTCAGCACAGTCAGTGGGAAGACTATGACTGGAAGCAGTTGGCTTGCGACCTGCTGCCCATACATCAATATTCTGACAGTTTTTGCTGGACTTAGAAGATTCATCAAGCTAATGCCTAATTCAAGTAAATTATAAAGAAGGAAAAATCGAGTCCTAAAACTCAGATAAAAAATATAATATACAGGACACTTTATTTAAGAAACCCCAAATCCTAAACAACAAACCAACCAAACAAAACAGCAAAGGTTAATGTACTAAAATGCCTGCAGTAATGCACTGAAATGCCTTTCCCAACAGGAGTAGTAATGAGCACCTAACAGGAGAGATTAGACTGTGTCTCAGATTACTTGGAGCCCTGCCAAGGAAGCTAATGATCCCTACAGATCTGTATCAACACAGCTAATACGGCAATGCAACCAGCTTTTTGCAACTAAGGGGGAAAGAAATACACTCTGACAGATGTGCATTCCACTGAATGGAAAATGCATTAAGAGAAGCTAAAGGTGCAATAGCTACAAATTTTAAGCCTCCCAACAATTATTTAAATAGATATGTAGGTATGTCTAGAAAATTTATTTGAACCACGTCTTCCCTCATGACGTTAAAACCTGTTGCAACGTGTGTCAGTGCACAATAACATAGTAGTTGATGTGCTAGATTTTCTCTTTTTGGGTGTTACTGACCAAACACGTACATCATTGTGTCCCTACAGTGACATCTATTTCACTTACCACTCCTAGAAAACCCTGAGAAGTTTACAGTATTACTAGAAAGCTAAACAAACCAACATTTTGTATGATGTTCTAACTAGCAGGAATGCAATCTGATTGAAATTTGTTAAATAATTAACTCTCCATATGATATTGAATTATAGCTTAGAACATCTCTTTGAACCTATTGAACTACGGAGTAACAGAAAAATTTCCATTGTACAGTCTGTGCTTTTCAGTAGAATAGGGTTTTCTAAATGATCAACAGGTGCATGAAAATAACCATCAGAACCAGTAAGATTACCATGTAATGGGTTTCAAACAGACCCTTTTGTGAAGTTTGCAAAAATGAAGCAGCATAATTCCTTTGCTAGGCTCCAATTCCGGTGCAGCTGAAAACAATAAAGTCTAAGACAAATTGACACTACTGGACTCTGCTGCAGAGAACAGCATGTTCTGTGATCTGTGAGCCTAAGGAGAAGCTAACATCTTTTTGTACTTCAGTTCCTGCTTGTTTGTTATGTACCATCAATTACTTATTTATCACAGGTCAGGGGCAGAACATTTAATTTTGGTGGCAATATGAAAAGCGATCCAGAAAGGCTACAACATTTATACTGCATCACTGTATACCCTGTTGAAGGCAGCTGTGAGCCTTCTGTAAAAATCCTGAAAATTTTAATACCCCAATGCTCAGGAAGAGTGTTTAACAATTCTTCTGGATGACAACCATATATTTATATATGTATATATATATATAGAGAGAGAGAGAGAGAAATTTTCACATTTAAAGAGACCATAAATATATTCCATCATTTAGCCAATGAAGAACATTTTGACCAACAAATGATTTCACACTGATTTCATACAAATGACATGCAAGACAAAAATATTTTAAATTTATTACTGTGAACCATTAAGCTCTCCAGAGAAAAGTCTTTCTGTAGGAGAACTGGGACAGAATTGGTGCCTAGCAGACTCTGGCAAGCTGCCAGGGCAGCATGCCTAACATGGGTAGCAGCACCTCTGCAATTCCACTACTGTAGTGAAGAAAAGCAAAACAAAATCGCCCAAAATAAAAACACGATCAACCTTTAAATGTCTACTGAACTACAGAACACCAGGGCTGCCTATGGCAAAAGCAGAAATTAATGAAGATAGTACGCAAAACAGTCACAATCAAGTATCACTTGGC